CTCAACTGAAGAGTGGATAGAGAAAATGTGGTACATTTACACAATGGAGTATTACTCAGCAGAAAAAACAATGGAATCTTGAAATTCGCAGGGAAATGGATAGCACTGGAAGAAACCATCCTGAGTGAGGTAACCCAGTCGCAAAAAGACAAACATGGTATGTACTCACTCATATATGGATTTTAGACATGGATCAGGATAGTGCCAGTCTGCACTTCCACTGATAGAGAGTCTGGGAAACAGGAAAGAACCTAAAAGATAGGCATATATGCATAGTACCCAAGAGAAGAGCATGGAGACAAGATCCCCTGAATGGATGGGGAACACGGTGAGGGGTGGGGGGGGGAGTGGGACCTGGGAAGAAGAGAGGGGGTGAAGAGGAAGAGAGTTGGCCATGGGGGAACAGGAAGTTGAGGGGGTGGGGATAGAATAGGGAGAAGAGGGAATCATAGGATCGAATACAGATCAGGCACCAGAGCGACCTCGAGTGATCTAAAGGGATAACACCAACTGGCAAGCTAAGCAATAGTGGAGAGACCACCTCGAATGCCCATTCCTGATAATGAACTTGATGTCTATAACCATCCGGGAGCCTTCATCCAGTGACTGATGGAAGCAGAGGAAAACACACAATTAATCACTGAACTGAACCCAAGGAACCCAGTGACAGAGAGAGAGGAGTGATGAGCAAATTGGCAAAGAATGAGCTGGCAAAACCAGCAGAGACAGCTGATCTGAACAGGGGAGAGCTCTTGGACCCCAGACTGACAGTGGGGAGGCCAGCATGGGACTGATCTGGACCCCCCAAATGTGAGTGTCAGCGAGAAGGCCTGGGCAACCTATGGGGCCTTGAGCTGTGGATCAGTGTCTATCCCTGGTATACAAACAGTCTTCGTGTGCCTATAGGTCAAAGAGGGATGCTCTCTCAGCCTGGACTCTTAGGGGAGTGCCTGGACCCTACCCAGAGTAAAATGACAGACTCTAGATATCCCCTATGTGGAAGGATTTGGCAATAGGGTGGGAGGGCGGGGGGGAAGGGGAGTGCGGGAGGAGGGGAGGGAGAGGGAACTGGGATTGACATGTAAAACAAGCTATTTAAAATTAAAATAAAAAATGATAAAAAAAAGAAAGAAGACAGAGTCAAAGAGATGCCATGTAGCCACCAAAGGGGTAAGATGCCAGAGCATTACCGGTAAGCCATGGCCACATAGTGATACATAGATTATTAAAAATTGATTAATTTATAAGAGAGAGCTAGCCAGTAATAAGCCTGAGCCATTGACTAAGCAATTATATTCATTATTAGCCTGTGAGTGATTATTTCGATAATGGCTGTGGGAACCCAAAAGTGGGAGAGGAACTGGTCCAGGGGACCAGTGGGACAGAGAAAAACATTAAACTATAGACAACAGCTTTACGGAGTGGGTTTAACCAGCATTTGTAGTCGATTGAGTCAAATTGCTGTGACAGACTTGTCCCTAGTCAACTCAACCTGCTTCTGTCAGTCAGGGGTCATACTTGCTCATACTTTCTGCTGCTGTTCTGATCAAACCAACTGACACAGCACACTTGGGTATTTGTGGATTGAAGCTAACACAGTTGCTGTCTTCTGTTGTTATAGTCAACATGGAATGAAAGTATACACAGAAATAAACATTTCAATGCGTAGCAGACAGCTTCACTATAGCCAAGTGAGACTACAGGGTTTGAATTGTTTTTAGGGCCTTTTGTAATATATGCTGGGTGATACTGGCACGCTATTTATCTTTTCTGGACTTATGACTTGGCCTGCTAGAATGGATACTATCAGTGTTTACTTTATGTGGTATGTGATGTGTTTAGAACAGGGTAAACTTTGCATTGCTGTTTTCTAGTATAGTTATTCTTGTGAATCCACAGAGGATTGGTTCAGGGCTGTGCACAGACTTGAAAATCCATGTATGTTCAAATTTCTCATACAAAAATGGTATAGTATTTGAATATAATCTCAACTTATCCTTCTATATCCTTTAAATCATTTCTAGGTCACTTATATCACTTAATGCAACATAAATGCTATACAAATAATTGTTGTATAAACTGAATTTTTAAGGGACTTATGGCAAGAAAAATAGACTGTGCATATTCAATATAGATAGGAAGCTTATAGAACTAACTATACAATACCCAAAGGACATGAAATGTAACAATGTCCAAATAGGGGATATTAGAAAGAAGAGTCCACGAAATGGTGGGCTCTACACAGGGAATGCTCATATGACTTCATTTATATGGATTCAACACCACAATATTCAGTGTGTGGAGATTTGCATTTTGCTTTTTGCAAATTTCTAGAACTAATGTCCCAAATGATTTAATCTAGAGATTGATTGTAGATATATAGAACCCAAAGATGAGGAGGGCTGGAACTTTCTAGAATTTGCTCCCCACACCGGTGCCAGAACATACTGGTCAGTGGCTGATGGAGTCTATAGACTTGGAACCTGCAAATATGGAGGGCTGAATATTTTGTTATTAGTGTTAGTTGTTAGAGGAGAAGGGCAAATTCTATCTCTGTGTTCCTAAAGTGTTTCAATTCTGTCTAGTCTCTTTGGGATTGAAAACATGTGCTTCAAGCCCTTGAGAGACTCTTAGCTTTTCCTGTCCCATCTCTGCTCCTTGAGAGTCTTGTGTCTCTTTAAATGACAACCCCCCCAACCAAAGATGAGAAAGGGAAACAGATGGATGAGGAGGAGAGCAAAAATCAGGAAGAAACTTGGGCAAATAGTTTCCATTAGCCTCTCTTTTTATATCAATCTAGAGAGAATAGGGGAGATGGCAAACGAGGAAAAGCATAATGGTTTGAATTAAGTGGGGCTTTTACGTGCACCAGTCCTTCAGAGCAGCTGGGGTCCGGGCAGACTCTGTGTGCCCTGTACTCAGGTGCCCTGAAAGCAGGTAGAATGGTGGTGGAAAGAAAGTGTCCTCCTTATCCCACGATTGAGCTTTTCTGATGCTCCTTTTTAAAACAACAAGTGCTTTGCCCCACATGCACTGCAGTCCATTTCTCTCTGGAAAGGCTCACCTTTTCTGGCTCTCCAAGATAGTAGAAGCCTTTTGAGCACAGCTGCTTGTTTGGGTTGATACAGGGGCCCAGACAGACATTTATTCGTTCCTTTTCGAAGGCCGCTCTTGTCATCCCTCTGAGGTTACTTCTTGCCAAAGTGACTGCTGTCTGGCAACCACATCGGCCGGGATGGTCAAGTTTCAAATGTCACCATGCAAATTGCAGTTTTAAACCAAAATCAAGGCTTGAAATGCCAGACCTTAAATGTCCCTCAAATACATGTTTTCCCAGCTATGAACTTGCCACAGAAATAAACAACAATTATGCAGAAACCACCCTCCCTATCCTTCCCATTCTCTACCCAGTACCAAAACTATTTCATGGAGTGTTTGTGATAGAAAGATGTCTCAGTGTGGCCCACTTAGAAATTTGAAGCATACAAATGGAAGACTGTGGGGTACATATGCCAGGGAACCACAGAATGACAGAGTCATCACTGTCCTAGTTTTCTGAGTCTCGGTGACAGACACAAGGGGGTTGATTTAAAAGCTGCTGATAACACATCAGGAAGACAGCAGAGCATGGCCCTGCTTTAGAAAGGAGACTTAAAGAATCTTCCCTTATGATTGGCAAAGGACCTTGGGATTCAGACCTTGTTTTTGTATCTTAAGAAAATGGAAGCAAAGGACACAGTGCATTCAGAAGACCAAGAGTCACACCTCACCCAGGGGACTGTAGATGCTCCAGTAGGCAGATGGGATATGATTTTACTGTTCATGGTTTGGGGCATGGTGTTAGTTACTACAAGGGAGATTTTACCACCAAGCAATGGGCCAAAGACAACGTCCCTATTTAGGCTACTATCATTCAGTTTCTTCACCCTGAACAGCAAATGAGGGAAGCTGACTAAAGCAGAAGGCTGAGTCCGTTGTCTTCTGAGGGTCCCCAGAAGAATTTTCACAGCATCATTTGGTCACAGGACCCAGTTTTCAGTTTTCTCCCTGCTGCAGTTACTCATCCGTCTCTGCATCCAGAAGGAGTCAGGAAAAAAGAGAGTGAACTCTCCACGAACAAGGCCAGCTTTTAATGATTCTTAGAGAAGAGCGAATGTCTCACAGGCTGCTGATGTTTTGACTGTTTGTCCCTTGGAGGAAGCAAGTAGTTTGTGTTTGAACTTACCAGGTGAAGATAAGGAACAAAAGGACCTGCTATGACTCAGATCCTTCCATTGAAGCAATCAAATCAACAAACAGAAAATAAATCTGTACTATGTGTCCTCACTGAGTCACTGCATTAGTGAATTCTCCAGGAAGAACCCCACTGGGATGATTTCTTCCCACCAAACCCCATTTCCTGTAGCTGCTTAGATTGTGTACTAGGTTGAAGTCAGCAGACTGCAGCAGGCTCATTAGTGGCAACAGTTTGAATTTCCTTGCAATATAGAGTTAGTGGCTTTAAAAAGTAAAAATATGGATCTCTCCATAAAATCCAAATTTCCAGTAAACTGAATAATTTTTTGATACAACCATGTCTCAAATATTGCAGGGGCCATATTTATACTAAAATATTCATGCTTTAAATTGAAATGCTAAGAATGTTGTTTTCCTGAAACAATTTTAACTAGGATCTAGCCTCATATTTTATCCAGCAATCCTTGTGCTATATCACACCAAAACTATAAAACTCTGTGACTCCTGAGTATAATATTTTTAAAAGATCAATTAGGTTTCTCTTGGTTATGCTTACTTTTGCCTGTATAACTGGTCTCCTGATTACTGGGTTAGATGGAGGCTAGGTCCTGCTCAGCTGGTGACAGCAATCCATGGCCATTCCTCCAGTGATGTGTTTGATCTGAGCTGCTGTTTTGACTCTACAGCAGTCTATTGTTTTCCCAGGCTTGGTGGAGACTTACAGACATAGACTTGGCCTTGTGTTAGTTTATAATTAAAAAAAAGCCAGACTAGCTCAGTTGGTAGAGCATGAGACTCTTAATCTCAAGGTCATGGGTTCAAGCCCCATATCAGGTGACACATGTAGATGGATGTTATTGTCCTACCTGGTCCTACAGCTGTTCAGTCCCAAATAAACACACAGAGGCTTATATTAATTATAAACTGTTTGACCTACTGCTCAGGCTTATTACTAACAAACTCTTACAACTTGAATTAACCCATTATTCTTATCTATGTTTAGCTACATGGTTTGGTACCTTTTCTCAGTAAGGCATTCTTATCCTGCTTCCTCTACATCTGGCTGGTGATTGCTTCTCTGTTGTTACTCTTCCCAGAATTCTCCTAGTCTGGTAGTCTTGCCTATACTTTCAGCCTAGCTATTGGCCAATCAGGATTGTATTAAACCAATATGAGAGGCAAATCTTTACAGTGAACAAGCACATTAACCCACATCACTCAGGAGTGATGGGAATTTGGAATGCTTCACTGACTCCCTCCTCCTACATTTGTCTTAGGATTCTTCTTTTGTACATGTTCACTATATGCTCCCCCAGTGGCTAGTCAGCCATCATAACTTCTTTTTCCCCCCAAGACAGGGTTTCTCTGTGACTTTGGAGACTGTCCTGGAACTATCTCTTGTAGACCAGGCTGGTCTTGAACACACAGAGATCAGCCTGCCTCTGTAGCCTGGCTTTTTAATCCCCTTTTTATTATTTAAATTAGAAAAAAGCTTGTTTTATCCATCAATCCCAGTTCCTTCTCCCTCTCCTCCTCCCTTGCCCCCCATCAACTCCCTATCCCATCCCCTTTCTGCTCCCCAGGGAGAGTGAAGCTTTCCATGGGGGGCCTTCAAAGTCTGTCATATCATTTGGAGCAGGACCTAGACTCTCCTCTGGTAGTCTAGGCTGAGAGAGTATCCCTCTATGTGGAGTGGGCTCCCAAAGTCCATTGTGTAGTAGGGATAAATACTGATCCACTACCAGAGAGGCCTCATAGATTATCCAGATCTCCCAACTGACACCTCGTTCAGGGGTTCTGGAACAGTTCTATGCTGGTTTCCCAACTATCATGCTAGGGTCCATGAACAACCCCTTGTTCAGGTCAGCTGATTATGTGGGTTTCTCCAGTCTGGTCTTGACTCCTTTGCCAGTCAGACCCCCCTCTCTGCAACTGGATTCCAGGAGTTCAGCTCAGTGGTTAGCAGTGGGTGTCTATCTCTGCTTACATCAGCTACATAATGAAGGCTCTAGGATGGCGTATGAGGTAGTCATCAACCTCATTTTTGGAGAAGGGCATTTAAGAGAGCTTCTCCACTATTGCTTAGATTGTTAGTTGGGGTCATCCTTGTAGATCTCTGGACATTTCCAGAGTGCCAGATTTCTCTTTAAACATATAATGGCTCCCTCTATTATGGTATGTCTTTTCTTGCTCTCCTCTGTTCTTCCCCTGACTCAATCTTCCTGCTCTCTCATGTCCTCCTCTCCCCTCCGCGTTTCCCCTTCACTTTCTCCTAACTCCTCCTGTCCCCCATGCTCCCAATTAGCTCAGGAGATCTGGTCCCTTTCTGCTTCTCCAGGTGACCATGTATGTGTCTCTTAGGGTCCTGTTTGTTTCCTAGCTTCTCTGGCGGGATGGATTGTAGGCTGGTAATCCTTTGCTCTATGTCTAAAATCCATATAGAGTGAGTAAATACCATGTTTGTCTTTTTGTGACTGGTTACCTCACTCAGGATGGTTTCTTCTAGGTCCATCCATTTGCCTGCAAATTTCAAGATTCCATTTTCTTTTCCACTGAGTAGTACTTCATTGTGTAAATGTACCACATTTTCTCCATCCATTCTTCAGTTGAGGGGTATCTAGGTTGCTTCCAGGTTCTGGATATTACATATTATGCTGCTATGAACATAGTTGAACAGATGTCCTTGTATGAATGTGCATATTTTGCGTATGTCTCTAAGTGTGGGCTTGCTGGATCTTGTGGTAGACTGATTCCCATTTTCTTGAGGAACTGCCATACTGATTTCCAAAGTGGCTGCAAGTTTGCACTCCCACCGGCAGTGGAGGAGTGTTCCCCTTTCTCCACATCCTCTTCAGCATAAACTGTCATTCAACCATCGTAACTTAAAAGCTCACCTTTAAATACATGCAGACAAATGGAATAGAAACATGTAAGTATAGAAGTAAGGCATGGAGTTGAGTCACAAAAGTGTCCTTTGCCAATGACTTCTGGCTTCAGGGAGGTTACTGTGTAGACCCCTGAACTAAGGAGTATTTACAGGTGGAGAATGAGGAGGTGGGGGAAGGAGAGTATCTGCATATGGGGAGTGCACAAAGGGAAAGCCTGTGCAGAGATGGTGACTGAAGTGCATATAACTTGTTGTGTATAGAGAAGTTGTGGGTGATGACAATAAAAATTGAATCTGTTAGGATGTGAAGGAGTGTGAATGCTCACCTGGTATGGAATAAGGAAAGCACCATAGTGCAAAGCATTGAAAAGCAGCGAGAGATTCCACACATGTGGTCTGGACATACATGCAGAAATCACAAGGAGTGTGGGATTTTTCACAATATTTGTAATCATTCAGCCATATTATTATCATCAACTTGCTCAGATTGCATGCTTCAAGTAAAAAACTCTAAATCCATCCTGAGTACAGGAAAAAAGCTGTTCCTCAAGGGGAATTGTGGGTTTCCTCAGCTGTATTTACATCTACCTTTTGAGAATTTCTGGATTGATTTCATAGCCACATTGGGGTATCTGTGGCTTGATTCAGTGTGTGAGAGAGAACTGGTTTCCAACTCTATAACCTTTGTTTGTGCCTGGGACTTTAGGCAATGAGGGGAAAGCGAGTTGAAGAAAGACTGAAGAATTCAGTTAGTTAATTTTAGTGGACTTGCATTAAGGCTGAGGAAAAATATTTTAAACCATTATAGGGAAGATTTTAGACCATTTTAAGTAACATTCCTGGTTATTCAGTAAAGAGTTCTGAGAAATCTATATTATGTACCATGTGATGATTAATATTGTTTGTCAATTTGACAGCATCTAAAATAATCTAGGACAAGTCTGGGCATGCAAACACAAATGTATAGATTTATTTTATTTTAAATGGAAAAGCTCACCCTAAGTTTGGTAGTTACAATTCCATGGGGTAGGATCCCTTTGAGAAAATGATCTGAGTAACATCATTTATCACTCTGGGCTTCCTGACTACAGTTGCAATGGGACTAGCCAGTCTCCTACTCCTGACAGGCCTTCCATGCTTCCATAGCTTCCAAAGCAAGACCGAAACCTAGCAGGGCAACATGAAATACTGTAGTTCCATGGCTCATATTTGGGACTTGTGATGGAATCAATTCAGATACAAAGGGCTACATCTCTGAGGCCTGTAGATCACATAAGATCTCTCTTAGGCTGTGTCTACTCTGTTTATGCAGTTTTCTTAATTAAAATCCCGTGGTTCTGGCCTTTTGAACACTCCAGGATCTCTTTGGTGAGGGAGGCTCTAGCTTCAAAACTTCATGCAGTAACCTCTCAGGGCCTCTTTACAGGGACTCCAACCCCTGTCACTCATTGCTTAGCATCAGCAGCACTTGAAATGTTGGTGGAAGAATCCATGACTGCTTCAAGCTTATATCTTTCATGCTTCCATATCAAAGACCACGTGGACAGCACTGTTAATTTCTGTTGGCCAGCTAAAGATGTAGCCTACTCCCCCCTAGGAACTCAGTTGCATTAGCTACTTGTGCTGACCCTGGGCAAACACTTCCAGAGTTGCTTTTCAGGAACAAGAAACTAGTTTGGCATTCTGAGCCTAGGCTCTCTCATTGGAAATGAATTTACATGTTCACAAGTTGGAGCCTTTGACAGGTAGGTCTAGCCCTTAGGACACCTTTGTTATTGTTTCAGTGTATGACAGAAGGTTTCTCTTTAATAGATTGGATCTCCTTATGATTGCAAATGCTTTGAGATCTGCATCCTTCTCTTTACAACTTCAAGCTTACTCACATAACTTTCCTCACTAAACTTCACATTTTCAGTTTGTTTTTGGTGCATATGTTGCTCTTCCTTATTGTAGATCAGAATGAGAACAGTAAGCAAAAACCAGAGCACAGCCTCAGTGTTGTCCTGACTTGCCTAGGGAGGAGAGGCTCATGAGCTTCCCACCTCTACCTGGAGAGCTCTTGACAGTTGATACCTTCTAGGAGAGGAAGAGTCTATTTATTTGTTAAGTTATCTATCTATCATGTATGTATGTAGGTATGTATGTATGTATCTATCATCTATGTATCTATCTATATATCTATCATCTATGTATGTATGTATATATCTATGTATCTATCATCAATGCATGTATGTATGTATGTATGTATATATGTATGTACGTATCTATCTATCTATCCATCTATCTATCTTTTTAACACTGTGGAAGCTTATAGGTTGATCATGCTCCAGTGTGACCCCACAAATTGAATTAGGTAGAACATTAAAAAAGAGGATTTAAAATTTAGAGGAGATAGGGCTATATCTTGGATTGTTAAGGGAAGTAGAAGGAATGAATATGATCAAATACGCTGTATGTATATGAAATTCTCAAAAATTTAATAACAACAGTATACATTGTTGGAAGATTTTTTCCTCCACAAAAAGCAACAACAAATTAAGCCATTACTTTTGACTTAGCTTCACTCAACTTTTTGAGGCACAGGTTGAATACAACCAGACCCTTAGAATATATCCTGAATGGCCTCCAACCCAGCTCCAAACAGAGTTCTTGTTGCTCTTTGAAACCTTATGAGAGTCCACAATTTTCTCTGCCTTCTGTTCTTTTAAATTCCTATCTGAAGAGCTCACGACATTCTGCTTACAGAGTCTAAGGGCTTTTTAAGCCTACAGTTCCAAACTTTGCCATACACTTCCCACCAACCTGTTCCAAATGCTTAAGGACTGTGTGGTCAGGTTTATCACAGAAGTGACTCTGCCTTACAGTACATATTTCCTCTCACAGTTACTGTCTCATTATTGTGATATAACACTCAGACAAGGAGGAATGGTTGACTGGGCACAGTGCCACATTT